TCTCTCTCTCTCTCTCTCTCTCTCTCTCTCTCTCTCTCTCTCACACACACACACACACACACACACACACACACACACACACACACACACGCACACACACACACAAACACACACACACGCAGTGGGACAATCCATGCAAGAGAGAATCCGTTCTGTAACGCACTGTCTTTTGCCTGTGCCTTTCTTTTTTTTATTTTCCGAGAAACGGGTTGGCAGAGAGCTAGGCTACTCGGCTCGCCTGGCCGAGCAGCTCAAGTTGCCCGGGGGTCACCCGCACGGGGCACCCCCTGCAGGCAAAATCAGCCCCTTTTTTTTTCTTTTTTTCGAGGGGGTGGAGGTTTCCCGCGCAGCATGGTCAGAGGAGCCCAAATCCAGGCTCCTTTCTTTTTTGAGTGTTGGCTGTGAAGAGGGTGCACTGAACTCAGTTCAAATCCGCACAGTCATGAGTCAGGGTCGTAACTGTTGGTCCAAGTAAAGATTCAGTGGTCAAAATTCGCATCTCTAGCCATAGAGAGGTCTGAGAAAAGTCCTACGGTCAAGGGGTATAGCGTCCAGAGTCAAATCAGGCAATCTGTGTCCCTACGTGAGGCAGTTTGACTCTTGGAAAATCAGACCAAGAGTCAAAGATTTTTCAGCAGTCAACCACGGCCATAGATCAGATGCACAATCAAAGGCTGTCTTTTTTTTTCCCCTTCTTTTTTTGGGGGGGACAATGCTCCAATCTATTTGTGAGGAGCCGCACGTGCTGGGAACAGGGCCCAGCGTCCCATTTGAGACATATTTGAGAACATATACAGAAGAACTTGAGATACCGGGGCCATTACCCGGCTTCGGCTGAGAATAGGATCATGAGCAAGTACTAGCCTATTCGACAAACGACCTCGTGAGATAGGCTAAAATTCAGAAAAAGTCTGAAAAACTATGAGAAGTTTCTTTTTTCTGAGCTGCACGCAGGGACTATAAGAACCTCAATCATCGTCCCCTGAGAGTTTTCAGGCCGAGAACAAACTACCTTAGTGTGATTGAGCAGTCCAACCCTAAGTCTGCCTCAGCCCTCACATACACGATACCTGGTAGGTGCTGGGGCTTGGTTACAGGGCACTGCAACCAAGCCCCAGCACCTACCAGCGTCGTTCTGCCCTCACATACACGATACCTAGTCTCTCCCAGGCCTCACACCCCCAAGTGCTAAGTTACAGAGCGGGGCAACCCACTCCAGAACGATCCCCCACCTGCTGGTTTACAGGGCAAAACGACCTGCCCCCCGCTCCGGCCAGCGTCGCCTACGTACCAGGTCACCAATGGACACTGGAGTGCCTTCGCAAACTAATACTATGTAATTCATGTTGTTTCAAGAACTCTGACAGCAGAGCCTCTTCTTGAGAACTCATGAGTTGTTGTAATTCCGAAACAACAGATTCGCTTCTTGCTTCAAAAGTAGCCTTGAAAGTTTCGCCAAAAGTTTTTTGACTAAATAAAACAAAACCCACAAAACTAAAAGCTACTAGAATTTCTTCATTATAAAGTAAAATTTGTTTTGAACTTAGCACACTGAATAGTAAAATGCCACTCAACAACTCCCCAGATCTCTCTACCAGGCCTCACGCCCCCGAATAGCTCGGGTTACAGGGCAGTGCAACCAAGCCCCAGCATCTATCAGCGTCGTTCTGGCCTCGTCCATTCACAAACCTATGGGACTAACGGCGTCAGAAAAACATCGAGCAAACCACCAATCACCACCATAGCTGCAGTTCCAAGACCTCCTACTCCCTCAAACGCTGATTATGATCAACCACCGGAAATCATCCATCTATCCCTAGCTAGCCCCCTTCACCAGTAAGACACTCGGATTGCACAACAGACAGAGAGGGCAGAGCCTCCTCCACCACCCTCGGCCTCCGGAGCAGAGGAAAAGGGAGGGAAAAACCATCCCCTCTCCTTTTGGCAGATCCAGTGAAGGATAAGAACTCAATTCCCATTAGAACTCAGGACAACCCCCAGAGCTCCTTCCTCCCCACAAGAAAACTAAACCCCTGTCCCTCCACTGCCTCCGACATACAATACCCCTAGAGTATGCCTCCGCCAAGCCGAAGTTCCCCCACCCCTCCTGTCCCACCCCCTCCTAGTGGAACACCCACTCAGCTCCCTGAAGTCCTCTTTCTCTCTCTCTCTCTCTCTCTCTCTCTCTCTCTCTCTCTCTCTCTCTCTCTCTCTGTCTGTGTCTCTCTGTCTCTGTGGTGCGAGCGCACGTGCCCTCCCCCCCCCAAAAAAAAACACTAACTCGCTTACCTTGACACTGGCGGCGAACCGCGATGGCTGCCACTGGCGGGTGACAGCGGGGTCACATGCGATGGTGGGCGTCCGCGGGCACTAGCAGGCATTGGCGGAGGTCGTCGGAGTTGCCGTGGGCAAGTGGCGGCTGACAGCAATTCTGGGCCAATCAGATCAAGAAAATCTGGGCAGTTGGAGGAGGCAAGCCAAGGCAGGTCAACACTACAAAAGAGTGGCCAGCCCTGTGACTCGTTCATTCTGCCTTGCATATGCTGCTGGCTCGAGTGCTGCTGGGAGAGGTAGAGAAAAATATGAGGCGGGTGCCAGGGAGAGGAAAGCAGTGCCAGCCCAGGAAGGAGAGAAGAGCGAGAGAGAGAGAGAGAGAGAGAGAGAGAGAGAGAGAGAGAGAGAGAGAGAGAGAGAGTGTTAGAGCTAGTCTTCGCTAGAAAGGGCGCTCTGCCGCCATAGCTGTAGGAGAGAGGGAGACAGCGAGGAGGAGGGTGATCAGGACTGCGAGTGGAAAGAGACTGAAAGTGTGGGAAGCTTACTGGTGATACCGGAGCTGTTGCTGGTCACCACAGAAGGTTGAAGAAGGCTGGCACCAACCTCCATAGCCAGCATTGACGTTGGAGGTTGGGCGCCATAGCTGATACTTGCAGAGGAACTTCATCAGTGACATTCAGGGAGAGACTGGCATTACTGAGGTAGTGCTGAGTTGGTGGAGAGGCACCCAGAGGTGAAGACGGAAGGAGAGCCGATTCATTTGTATTATTGGTTTTTAATTCTCTCTCTCTCTCTCTCTCTCTCTCTCTCTCTCTCTCTCTCTCTCTCTCTCTCTCTCTCTCTCTCTCTCTCTCTCCATCCATCCATTGTTTCTCTTTGTCTATCTTCTGGAGACTCGCTGCTTATGCTGGGACTATATTGGGTATTTCTTGACTTCTTCTTGCGGAGAGTGGTTCCAATTCAGTTCACTGATGATATGGAATGTGATGTACTTCTGAAAGCTTCTTGACAGGCTCATTGCAGGGGGAGAAGGGGGGTATAAATTGGATTTTCAAGGGGCTGAAGGGGTTTAGAGGGGGGTGCCTTAGTCTGATTCCGTTGTTTTGTTTTTTATCTTCGGTTCCGTGAGGAATTCTGATGTGGCTCAGCCAAAAGTCGTTTGTATTGCAATTCTACACAACATTTTTTTATTTTTATTTTTTTGGGGGGGGGTGGGGTTATTTGTCGTCTTTTTTTGGGGGGGGGTGCTGCGGCTGCCCTGAACCCTGCACGGGGTTCATGCCCGGCCGGGCACCCAGGCGTGTATCCCGGCACAAGTTGGTGCCCGGGCGCCGTGACAAACAACCTAGGCAGAGAGGTAATTGTAGAGTGAGACATACTCATCTCCGGCGGCAATGGTTTAGCCAATACTCTCGCAGAAGGTGTGGCGACTGCAGTTGTCGGGTGCATGAAGAGA